GAAGGTTTGTCTCAGCTAATTAACAAGAAGGTAGACCAAAAACTGATCACCGGAATCAAAGTGTGTCAGAAAAGCCAGCAGATATCGCATTTGTTTTTTGCAGATGACTCTTTAATTTACTGCAAAGCAACAATTCAAGAGGCTAAACAGGTAAAAGACTTGCTAAAGTTTTACTCAGTGGTTTCAGGACAACTGGTGAACTTTGAGAAATCAGTAGTGTACTTCAGTAGAAACACCCCAACCCCAACCAGGACAGCTATTTGTGAAGAGTTAGGAAACTTGAAGGAGGCAGTAAATGGCAGATACTTGGGGTTACCAATGGCAATAGGAAGGACTAAGAACCAAGTTTTTGGCTACATCAAAAGTGCAATGAATAACAAATTGAAAGGATGGAGGAATAAGATGTTGAGTTTGGCGGGGAAAGAAGTGCTCATAAAGTCAATAATCCTAGCAATGCCAAATTATGCCATGGCATGCTTTAAACTTCCAAAAGGGCCGTGTAAGGATATTTGTAAGAGTATAGCCAACTTCTGGTGGGGTGGAAATCAGCAGGAAAAGAAGGTGCACTGGATAAGTTGGAAGAAACTAGCAAATGTCAAAGGGAAAGGGGGACTGGGGTTCAGAGATTTAGAAGCCTTTAATGAAACTTTACTTGCTAAGCAACTTTGGAGGATCATCTCTTCCCTAAATTTGCTTATGAGCAAAGTGATGAGGGCCAAATACTTAACAGACCTAAAAGCTCTGGAAACTCACCCTCCTCAATCAGCTTCTTGGACTTGGAGAAGTATCCAAAGTGCTTGGAACTTGATCCAAAAAGGACTATGGAAAAGAGTGGGGGATGGAGAGCAGGTGAACATATGGAAGGACAGATGGGTGTTGGGCTCTAAATCAGGAAAAGTTTCTATGATATGCCCTCCAAACTGCCATTTGCAAACAGTGGACCAACTAATACAAGAAGGAGGATGGAATAAGGAAATCCTGCAGCAAGTTTTTAATCAAAAAGACAGAGAGCAAATAGCCAATATGCCACTCAGTGTGTTTAAAAGACAAGACAGGTTCTTCTGGAGCTTTTCAAAGTCTGGAATCTACACAGCAAAAACAGGCTATGCAAATGTTGTGCAGGCAAGCAGTAGAGACGAAAGAAGATAGAATCTGGGGGAGGAAACAAGTTGGGAAATCAGGAAACACAGCATCTGGAAGCAACTTTGGAACTTGAGTTTAAAGCACAAGCTGAAACACTTCATCTGGAAGTGTTTACAAAATGGTATAGCTATTAAAGAAGCACTCCACAAAAGAACAGGAAAATGGGACATTATATGTACACTTTGTGGAGAGGGAGTAGAAACAATAGATCACATGTTTTTCCAATGTCCAATGGCACAAATAGTGTGGAAATTAGCACCAGTTAAATGGGAAGGGTTGAGGGATCTACAAAGTAATATGTGGAGATGGTGGGAGGCTGTAGCTTAGACAGGAACAAAGGAGCTAGGCATGGAACAGATCAGTCTGAATGCAAACATCCTATGGCAGCTATGGAAAGCAAGGAACAAGTCAGTGTTTGAACAGCAAAGAGGAGAAGCAAGAGACATAGTCTTAGGGCACAACAAGAATGGATAGAGTTTGAAGAGGCAATGCAACAGGAAACAAAAATGAAGCAGGGAGGAGTAGATTCAAACCAGAATGAACAGACAAGTGTAACATCACTAGAAGGAGTAATTAGAATCCACACAGATGCTGCCATCAATGCAAGGATGATCAGAACAGGGAAAGGAATAATTGCTAGGCACTGGACAGGAAAGATTATAAGAGCAAAGGTAGTAGTAGAAAAGAAGAAGGGTGAAGCTCTAATGGAAGAAACTTTAACCATTAGATTGGCTCTCCAAATGGCAAGAGAAGCAGGCTGGAGGAAAATTGCAATCCTATCAGACTGCATAACAGCCACAGACCAAATCAGAAGCAATAATGTGCATGATGGTATTATAGCAACCATTCTAGAGGACATTGAGGATCTAACACAAGGTTTTGAGTATTGCACAGTATCTTTTGTACCTAGAATGTCTAATGTAGCAAGTCATATGCTAGCACATTTTGCAACAAAACTAGTTAATGACATAGATTGGGTAAATGATTTCCCAAGCTAGTTGATAGAAGCAGCTAGGAAAGATGAGAGGGTTGTTGCCCCTTTTTGTAACTAATCCTTATATTATCAAGTGTTAATATATATAATGATATTGCCGTTTGTTGAAAAAAAATCACGAGGGAAAAGGATTGTAGAAAAGATGTTCTTAGATGGAAAAAGAAACAATTAGATAGAGCAATAAAGGCTCATAGTTTAGAAACTTTAGCTCCTGGTATTACATCTCCTTCGCCACCTATAAATTTAAGCAGTGTGCAAGCATGCGCAGCTGCATTATTTCAGTTTACAGGGAGATGAGCTTCCAACTTGACAAACTATCCCACATAAATGAGTGTGAGATAACAGACCAAAGCATCTCAAAGAAACCAAACTCTAGAGGTGGTCTCTTTAGAAAGCAGAGTGCAAACCGAGTCTTTTGTTCTTTATCTTCCTAGGCTGTCTTTGTTCGGTCCAAATTCAAATAGTATGCTAACTTCTATGAATGCATCATTTGAATTTGGAAAGACCCGATGTGTAACTGCGAGACATCATCGAAAAGTGACAGCTCTTACATTGGAGGTTTAGAGATCTCAAAAAACATTCAGGTCAACAAAAATGTATGAGATCACAGATTATAAGACCTCTTCCAAATGTCTCTAAATTTGTTCAGCCTCTTATACCAAAATTCGTTAATACATCTTCCCTACCAAATGCAGACTTGAATAGCCTGCAATCATATATGTTTACTCCAATGTAGGTGAATCTTCCCTCTATTGAAATTGAAGGAAAAAGAGAGAGCTTAAGCTGACAGTAAAACAAACTAAACAAAATCAGTTGCTTGAGCCAGAGACTATAAGGATGTGAGAGTTTGTAATCTCTCAAAACTACAACTGAACAACATAATGCTGAGATCTTTGAGGTTTCAAATCAGTCTAACCAAGTTCACCCATTACAGTCAATTGAGTGCCAATCTTCAGGTATTTAATGTAGCTTTCCCTATTAATATACTGCTTCTTATCAATTGAATGATTTCATCTAGTTTCAAAAGTCTTTCTATCTTCTTCGGGTAGTCTAACCAGCTTTTTTCTTTTCTTTACAACAGGAGTTTTTTCCATTTTTTTTAAAATGTAACTTTTGCTTTTCCTACTATAAATGGTTAGTTTTTAATGCATTAAATTTAAACCCATTTCAACAATCATGTAGTGCTATTGATTTTTCTATTTTTTAAAATGCATAAGCCTTTCACATTAACATGGAAGATATTATTCTGACATTTGTTTTGTAAATCTGTCAAGCAATATTATTGCTACCTTTTACTTCTCTGACAACAGACATTAATTGCTTTTCAATTCAATAGTCAAAGGCATTTTCTTTTGTCATTTAGTCAATTAAATATCTTTAGCTTTCAATGAATAAAGCATTTGGAAAGTTCTATATCATCTTTTTCTGTTTTAGTTTTAATTTTACTTTATAACTTATCCTATTTGTGAAATTGATATTGGAGTCTACTTGACAGGAATATTTGAACAAAACCAAGGGGATTGAGCTCTTTTCTTATGATATGTTAGTTATATGTAGTGCATAGAATTACATTTAAACTGTTTATTTGTAAAATACAAGGTATTGAAATCTTTTCTGAACTTGCATTTGCAATTCATAATCGTCTGGTCCTATGCTTTGTCCGTCATTTTGACACAGATTATCAAGGATAGAAAGATGACAAGTATAGCGTCGTCAAAGTATATACCATTGAAGAATTGGTTCAGATCAACTTGGTAATCACTAACGAAGTTGCCCTTGATCCTATAGGAGACCCTACTCCAACTGCTCTAGCAAAAAGTGAGAAGGTAGCTAACACTATTGAGGAGCTTGACTTAATTGCTAAATCCATTTCCATTGAACAACCTACTACTAAAGGGCAATTCTTCAGCCCAACAACAAAGATGATCCTTGATTCAATTGCCCAGAAGTCTGATGTTGCAAAGACGCCAACAAAAAAGCTTAACTTTTGAACCCGCAAATCCCAAAGTTAATGCACCTTCAGCTGGGAAGACAACAGTTGAGGTGGTGTTCCCTTGATTGCTGAGAAAAGCCCCATCAAAGACAACAAACCATTCTCTCCGAAATCTTATGATATTAGCCCCCTCAAGAAACAGCGTGATTCTGCAATGTGAAGCAGGCTATACAACTACATATCCACTTTTGTGTATCATATGTATTATTGAATTGCTAGGTTGCTATCTTTTGCCATCATATTAGAGTCCATTAGCATTCTCTCTATCATTAGAAGTTAACGGATTTTAATATATGATATTATTTAACTATAATAAACTTTTAAGTAGACAATTAGCATGCTAATTTATCTCTACTTAGGACCTAATTCTGGAAGGTGTGTAATCACTACTAAAATGGCTTGATAGTTATATATAAATGATTGTTATGGATTCATTATGTATCTGTTCTCTAACTAAAATTGTTATACATGCTCGTACGCATCCTGGTTTCACCTAGTATATACACACCAATGACAACATATCTATCTTAGAATTGTAGATCACGTTATTTACATTTTTTCCTTCTTTTTCTCGTTCCACCTAGGGTTCATGTCTTCATACGGATCTGAACTGAACACATCTGAGAATTCTTCATCAATTCGTTTTCCAGTTACGGATCCAATGCCTTCAGCTGGTGATTACATCTGAGAATTCTAATCAAACAAACTCTTTAACTCTTCCATCTTTCAATTACGAATCCAATGTCGTCGGCAGTTCAGCTGGACAACACATCTGAGACATCTATGATGCAGGCTGTTGATAAACATAGTTAATTGAAGCAAATATGAGCATTCATAAATGAATGGTTCATGCACACATGCACGCTTGAGTAGTTGCATTGAGCAAAGATGATCGTTTATTAAAAACTCACTTGGAAACATATCAACAGTTGTCCTTAGCTAACTTTGAGTTTAATAAGAAAATCAGAGCTAACAACGCAAAATTTGAACATTCCCCAACATAATCATCTCTAACTTCCCCTATTTAATCTCTAAACCCTAAAAGACAAAAAGGAAAATCCATTTAAAAGATGATTACAAGATTCTGCGTAAAAGTTTAATTATCAAATAGTGTACAAAAATTTGCTCATTTAGGAGCATGCACCTACTCTGACCCCTCCCACTAATCTTCTTACCACTCTAATCACAACATATCCTCTTCATCCCCGCTACTTAGAGATTCAAGCACCTCACTATCATCATCCTCCTCGTCACCTTCGGCCACAATCTCCAATATCCCAGCTGCACCTTCAAAGTCCCCATCATCCATTATAAAATCACCGTCTTCTTCCTCATCATCCTCGAGTTCACTCACGCTCTCATCATCATTGCTCATATCATCTGCATCACTATCACCATCCTCGTCAATATCTGGTCCCAATATCTCATCCTCATCCTCATCCACATCATCGTCTTCATCTTCACTCTCAGCATCATCTGGATCAGAATCATCATCAGTTGGCTTCCGACGACCAATTTCATATACCCTAGCAGAGGAATACATCTCATCCTGGTCATCCATTGTAACCAACCCAACAAAAGAATCGGTTGGCTCTGTAGCAAAGTCAAGAACACAGCGATCAACAGGAATTGTAGCAATGTCGGAGTAATTAACAGCATCCACAGTTCGAAAAGCAGCAAAGAGAGGATGTTTAACACGGCGAGTTTGAAATGCTGAAGTAACATCCTCGAGATTTCTCCTTAGAATTGCATAAATCACATCCCCACTAGCATTAAAAGTTATCACTGTTTGGTCTAAGGATGGCACACTTCGGAGAAGCCTGAAGTTCCGGAGATCCCAGACTTCAGAATTTATGATCACCTGTTAAATAATCATCAAACAATAAGAAAAAAGTAAAGGAACAAAAATGCAGATAAAGCAATCTCAGCATATACACTTCCACATTCTTCTAGATAAAAACAGGAATATGTGCATATTCACAGAATAAAAAAACAATTGAAGATTGACACCTAAGGAAAGAGAAAAGCTACTATCTCAATCATATGGGTGTATGGCTACTGACTAATTTATCTCTAAATTAGAGCTAGTCAAGAAGGTAGTCAGATACCTCATTCCCAGCAGGATGGAAGCCACCCCCACCATAATCAGAAAACTGATCAAAGCGATGCACTGGGCCAGAACCTCGGCGATCCCATAGGACCCCATTCCAGAGAAGCATGGTATCTGATGGGCTAAAGTGAATAAGAGAATACAAATGACCTCGACCTGATGGATTGTTTGACGTATCCGTAAGCTTTAGATCCAATTGGCTGGTCTGAATATCATACAAGAGAATCTCCCGATGGGATGATTCTGTTGATAAAGCAGCAAAAGCAGTTCCTGAATTGCTAAACCTCGCAGCTTTACATCCTTCGAATGAATGCTTGGGCCCAGCTGAAACTGAAGATACATCCCATAACCGCACATCATGGGCACTGGAGGAAAGAATCAACTGAGTATCTCCAGATATATATGACTGGGCAAGCGTCAAAGGATACTGGTGACTAGGGCAGCTATCAAGCACACAATTGCTGTTGGTGTCAAATATTTTGAGTTCCCCAGAATGGCTTCCGACAGCAATTTGCGAAGAGTCTCCAAGGAAAGTAACGCAAGTCAAAAGGGCACCAGCATCATCGCGGCAGGTTCGCCATGGCCTGAATCTACTATAAACAAACTGACGATCTCTACGGCTTCCGTGAATGCCACCATACATACTTCGAAACTCACGCATACTAAGGCGGGCCGTCATATTTGAGGGGGCGTCAAGGCTTCGTCTTGGTTCTGGGCACATGTGAGGATGTAGGAGAGAGAGAGGGGGCAATGTGGTAATAGGAGCCGGACACTGCCGATGTTGATGTTTTAGATACTGAACAACAAGAGAATCAAGGGTTAACCGTTCCAAGCTGGATGGTTGGGGCTCATTTGTAAGTCCATACTGGGTTGTAGGAACCATTTGCCTAAATTGAGCACCACTAAACTGGCTTTCATCCCCTTCAGCCGGTCCACAATTTGGCAATGATCTGCCATGATCTTTTAAAGAAGAACTAGTTGGTGAAAACATTGTTCCATCAGTCAGTTGGCTGCTTTTGCGAAGCATGCCAGATGTAATACAAATTGGAGACCGTAATGCATAATCACCTGTATTAAGTCGTTTTCCGGGTGACATTAACCCAGATTCCTTCAAGTCTGTCAACTTACGTTTCATTGGTAATACAATTGGAGTTTTACACTGGATATCGACATCCCCACTGGACTTAACAGCAGACACAGATGGAGTTCCAGGAGCACTTACAGCTGTAGATGATCTTTTAGAAGTCAAGTTAATTTTGGCACTCGACAATATTGGGGAGTCCTCAGCAGAAACCTGAGCTTTAGAGTGAAGACCATGTGGAGAAGATAAAGTCGTAGGCCTCTTTTTCAAACAGGAAACAGCTGAATCAGTTTTCAAGCCCAAATGCTCTTCCCGATATGTCAGTTTTAGTTTATCCGACATAAATCCACAATGAACTCTAGCAGATGGCCATTGAGTCAGAATAGATGAAGATTCCTGCACAGATGCCTGATGAACCAGGGATGCTGGTGTGGCCAAAGATGGTAAAGGTGTCAACTGAGCCTCTTTTAGAAGTACAGCTGCTGTTTCTGCCAAACCAGATGCCTGTAGGTGTTCGTGTATAAGAAGCAATAGTTCCCTGTAATTAAGAATTCAAAAGTTGCATGATAAAAACAAACAAGAAGAAGAAAAAAGAATTAACACTCATCTACAAAAAGTACTTCTTGGATAAGAGCCAGGTCAGCTACCTGGAATGGTATGTAATTGGCGTAGCAGCAGCTATAGCAGCTCTCTCTATGCGCCTCAATGTAGGAGTAGCAGCATCAGTTGCTGCTAATGCATTTGCACGGCCAGAATTTGTTACAACCTACAGGACACAGCAATGCTTCACATAACATATCTACCATGTACAAAGAACAAATCCAGCTCTACAATATCTTCTTAATCCTGTTCAACTGTCATTTCATAAACAATAATATGTACCAAGTATGGCATAAAAAGAGACCCAAGCTTGCAAGAAGACTACCAAAGGTTAAAAAGCAGTTTAATTCGCAAATATGATATCATGGAGCATACCATGAAGGGCGATCCCTTTCTACATTCTCAATAGAACAAAGGGTAAACAATTTTATTTTATGACATGGCAGAACCCTTCAATCAGGAGAGCTTATAATCCAGAAGGTTTTTCTAAGCCACTACCAGGCACTTATGGCAACAATTTTGAATCACCCTTATCACATGGAAACCAGTTTTCTAATGCTCATTAAATTGTATATAAGAGAATCAATAAAGTTGAATGGCAACAGGCCCCTCAAAAGGCATGCAATCAAAGTCTTAAAGTTATATATCCAGTTAAAGTACTATCAAAATTACCAAAGTACATCATTTACCAGCAGTGCGAAAAACTAAAAAGCTTTGTTCTTAAGAAATAATTACACATTCATGTGTACATCGATTGGAAAATACGTACAAGCTGATCCACCATGGCCCAAATCTTTCAAGGATACTGTTTTCTCTATACGCTACAGGTCTTAACGCACATGGGACATTCATTTAAAGCTCTGATCCACATGCTATCTAAGCAAGCATATTCCATTTTTAAACAAATGGACGACTAAAACACTGTCGCGGAACTGAATTGTCTACTAGCATCATGAAATGTGCAAGGTGAAGTTTCTTCACTAAATGCATGCACGAGTTTCATTCCTACATGCGTAAGCTTCGTACCATTGTCACTTCAGCCCCTTTTTTTCCCTTTTATATTTTTTTTTGGGAAGGGGGGGGGGGGGGTTACATAGCAGCATTTGGTATTACTTCCTCATGGAGAGTATTTTTAATGCTTACCCCAATCAACTCAATAGCCACCTGTGAAAGCTCCACCTGCCACCTACTTTGCTCACTACCAGGGGCCTGATTCCCTGAATCACGAATAAGTTCTGAAAGTTTTCTTCCAACCTGAAATACAAGTTGAAAATTAGACATCATAGAAGTAATCTACTAATCTCGCACCCAAATAGCTAAGTTTCACAATCAATATCATTGAAAGAGTTTAAAACAGATTTCAAATGATGTTTATCTACTTTGGAGAATTTTCATTTGTTGGATTGCATACTTAGGGATAGGGTTGCAAAGCCAACCGTCAAATACCTCATCAAAACCAAGTCCCTAGCATAAAAATGGAGTTTGAAACCCTGTTTAAAGTCACCAAGCTCATTGTGGCATTAAAACTTGTCTATCAAAGTTGAAGGGACAACAACCAACCAATTTGTTTTCACATAAGCAAGAGTGAAAAACAACGGCAGGGAAAAGAGGCTGCAAGGGAGTAGAGGGTGTTATGGCATACTATCTGCATTTATAAGCACTTCTCACCGAAATCTCTTGAGAAACAACTCAACTACCCAGTCTAGACTTTGCTTCTAATAAGAAAACAGTGCTCCAAAAAAAAAAAAGAGAGAGCATTCATTTATAGAAATTTCACCTACTTTATGCCAAAGACATTGTTTTCTTTCTCAACACCACAAGAATGTTATATCAATGTCACACAAAGGCGCTCACAGTACCAAAGCACATTGAGTGCAAAAAGGAGCAGGAAAGGAAACTATGCAACAAAACCATGCAAACAGGGTTCTGAAATGACAAATGCAAGAAGGAAATTTTGAATTTGCACGATGACATTCATGAAAAGGTGAAAAAAAAGAAACAAGGAAATAGGATGCAGGCACTAAGAGAAGCTACAAAACCCCACATAATTAGTAAATTTGTGATTTCAAACTTCCCCAATTTTGATATTTAAGTTTAGGCTTGAGGTATGTTCTTAATCCAATTGCAACAGATCCAAGCCCTGAACATGTGTCAATCATACTTTTTCAGTTTCATAGATTACGGACCAAATATGGACCATCTATGGACCAAAGGCTCATTTAACTTTCAAAACCGTTCGAATGCACCTAAAAAGCAGCAAAAACCAAGAAAAAGCCAAAACCTATGGCCAAAATTCAAAACTTAATTCTAAAGCAGGGCATAAGGATAAAAGATAATTTCACTTCATGGAAAAGCATTGCCAAGTATCAAGCCATTCACCTCAGGTGAAAGAAGTTTAATACATAATAGAAAACAAATAACTCAGAAGGTTAATCACGTGAGAGGCCACAATTTTCTACTTTGATGTTGATGCGACAATACTATGAAATTGGACAGTAAACACGAAATCTCAAAAATCAATTACCTTATGCTGACTCTTAAAAGAAACCTACAGAATCTGCATTATTAGCATCAAACATAAAATAAAAAGAATCTAATTATCAGATGCTACCCAGATACTCCTCTTTATGTAACAACAGCCAGTTTGAGAAGCAAATATATGCCATACCCTGACAACTCAGTAAGCTCCTTTCATCAAAAAAATAAAAAAGGAGAATCACAAGCACCAAGAAGGTGAATTCGTACCATAAAAACCAATGCACAGAGACAACCAATCTCAAATATCCACCAGTAAGTAGGACGATGTGTCCATTGCAAATGCAAATTTGCACAATTCAATAAGCATAAGGCACACTTCAAATGAAATGCTAACATATATACCAAATAAAAATCAACAAAAGATTAAAAAAAATGTTAGGACTTCATTCCCAATTTACAATGGCATTTTAAAAAACAGTGGACAAAATCACGAAGATATAAATGGCAAGCACTAAGCTTTACTACATAGGGAAAAAATAATATGACTGATTTTGACTTCATTCACAAGGCAACTTTATCTTGTATAAAGAAGGATAAAGATTAAAAGAATAGCTTCAGATAACAACTCAAAATACGAAATAAAGCTACCTGAAGCTTTGTTAGTATGTGTGCAATTGTATCATCTCTAGCCAAACCAAGCAGCACTCTGCACGCAAGAGCACGTAGACAGTCAAGGGCACCAGGAGGGGTAACTATCCGTGGTTGGAGGAGCTGAAGAAGAACCTTGATACCATTATTGGCACGAACAGCCTCTCTGGTTAGCCGATATCCTTGTTCAAGTTGAGCAGCAAGGCCAGCACACCCAGATCCAGCACCGAGGGAAATTCTACGATCTCCCACTAATCCTGAAGCTACAGTAGGAACTGGGACTTGAGAAGTATTACTCCCAGACGAAGTACCTACTATGGCAGTGGAACCTCGATCAACCAAGGTAGATTCCCCACTCCGGTCACGAGGTTCATTCTGACTAGCCACACTTAGAGCTCGATCAAGAATACTTCGTTCCAAGTTCCTGTCTCTGGTCTCCGGACCATTTAAAGATTGGACAGGTGCAGACTGATGTCCTTGTGTAGCAGCTGATGGTTTATTGCTGATTGAAGGAGGTGGGCACACAAGATTGACAAGGACATTAAGTGCTGCTTGAATAATCTGCATGATGAGATCATGGTGTTCCCATGTGAACTTCCATTAGAAACAATGCAACCAAGATAAATGCATATAATTCTATCCAGCATAAACCGAAGCCAGGGGTGAGAGGGAAGAAGAATGTGCAGAAATGTTTACCTCAGGCTCAACATAACCAGCGCCATTGGCTGCATCCAGGATAACAGCTATACCAACACGATTGTTACTTAGGGTGGCATTTACTATAAGTTTACGGCTATATGGTACTAAAGTGACGATGTGCAGAACACCCAAGGCATACTGAAGCAAGTCATGCAAGTACCGCTCAACAGGTGGAGCCTACAAAATAAGCAAATATTTTCTGCAGAATTAAGTAAAATGAAAAAGAACCAATAGAAATTGAAGGACTGACTGATATACCTGACACAGTTCCAACATGGTAATATGCCCATTAGCACTTAAGAACTTGTCCACAACAGGCCATCTGGCCCTCACTAATGCAGGACCAAGTTTCCGATCCTTCTGTATCTGCCGAAATACAGCATCCAAGGCCTCATTACTAATATCAAGGGGCTTGTACACCGCCCTAGTACTTGGAATACTTCGAGCAGCACTGCGCATGTTCTTATTAGGGCGAATTGAATCCACAAGTAAAATAAGATGCGCCCTAACATATTGTCGTAGTGCAACACAAGTGTGATAAGCTATTTGCTTCTCTGAGGAGGTAAGCACCTCCGTAGCAGGCCTGTCACTTCGAAGAGATCCAGCATTATTTATTGCCCCAGATGGAACCCCAGATCTTACTGAAGCAGCATCTTGCAACAGATTAATCATTTTTAGTAATCCTTCCTGAGCATCGAAAGTATCAATGACAGCTCTGAAAACAAATGCAGCAGCAAAAAACAAAGCTGCATTTTTTCTGGCTTGATCCTGGGAACATTCAAGAAGTTGAAGGGCCAACTCAACCACCTGATGGACAACATTCGACGGAAGTGCACAGACACGCTCCATTATTCCCTAAATGATCATTTCTCAAGTTAAATCCAACTTTCCACGAATAAGACAGTAGTTGTACGAATATTCAGAAGAGATGCACAAGTGAAAAGGGATATTAAAACAATTAGAAGGGGGAAAAAGTCATTTGATCTAACAATAGTAGATTATCACCAAAATTGAGCCAATTGTAAACAAACAGGAAGATAAACAATTACCTGGATAGAGCCAATCGTAAACAAACAGGAAGATAAACCAAAATATGTCTGAGGAACTCTTGGAGCAACGAGCAACTTTTGAATCCCACCACGATCCACAAATAATGCGGCAAATTTCCGATGAGCAGCCAGGGCACAAATTAGCTTCAACACATCAGGCAAGAGTAGAGCAATTTTTGATGCCTCTGTGTGTTTATAGCTTCGCTGCAACAATGCAAGACAGACATCTACACCTTTTTCATGCAGCACAGGTCCAAGTACTTCAACATACTCTCCCAATATGACAAGACACTGAATACAAAATTTCTCTCTGAGCTTTGCAAGAGAGTCACTGTCTAGCAAGAAGAACTCATTAACATCCTCATCAGTCTCTGTTTCTTTAGCTTTTGAGGGTGCTGAATCACCATCAGCAGCGGTTGTAGTTCTACAGATAACATGCACGATAGGGAAAAACAAATCAAGTTTATGACCGGTCAGTGTTAATTAGATGTAAAAGACCATGATAGTGTCAATAATTGGTAACTGAACATATCTTGTGTGAATTTATAACCAACCTTGAGACTTCAACCGCATTAGCAGCATCAACAACTGTGGATGCAGCTGTAGAAGCAGCCAAAACTGCAGCTTCTTCATTATTTGTCTTTTTATATTCCTAAGATCATGAGAACTAACAGACTTTAAGAAGTCCATCCTACAAAAAATGAAAATTACAGAGAACAGAGTAAAGCTTACCTCCAAAGCAGCACTCTTGACAAGTTCAGCAGCAGCATCACCAGCTGCTTTGATAGCTTCTGCTGGAGCATTGACTGCTCGGGCTTCAGATTCAGCAGCTACGACAGCTTTCCTTACCAGATCAGCAATGTTCTTGGAGCCAATTACACAGCCTTGGAAACAGTCATCACTTTCGTCTCTCCCTAAGGTAAAACCATCTGTAACAGTCCGTCCTTGGCTCTTCTTGCTGTCTGAATTTTTTTTCAAATCTTGGTTTCTTGGCACACTCCTGTCCCTGATATTCCGGTTCAATCCTCCAATTCTAATAGCAGAGCCAGGAGAAGTTAAAGATTGTTCATTATCCAAATTACCTTCACTTGCCCTTCCCTTTCCTCTTAATCTTGAAGTCCCACGATTGGTCCTGCGACGTGATAATTCATCTCTAACACTGTCATCAGATTCTTCTTCCCTTGAGGATCTGCCACCAGCCTTGGTCCTTCCATCACGTAAGTCCCAAGCATGCCATTTCTCATCACCTTCCGTTTCTGCATCATATATATCACTATCTGCAGCCAATACATCTGGTGGCTCTCCATCCACCCAATGTTCTTCATCTATTGGCCTACCCAAGCCTCTATCGAGATCCTTATCAGCAAGTTGATCATCACTGCTTCCATCCTCTAGTACTCTAGGTACATCAAAATGAGAATTCTCCAAAGCCTGCCGCACTCTTCCTCGAACATCCTCTCTGCCTCTCATGCAAGCTGTTGCAGGAAAGCTTTTGCTCTCTATCTGAGAAGTTGTGTCTTTTTGACTTGTGCCTGCCTCCCCAAGAACCCGGAGACGCAGATATCTCATGAGTTTGGCTGATAATCCTGAAGTTAACACATCTTCCACCACTTGACCACCACTACAATCATCAGCTTGGTTATAGCATGGGCTTTCATAGGGTGCAGAATAAAATACAGTAAAAAAAACAAAAAGGGGAAAAAAAACAGCCTTAAAGCATACCCAGCAAGACATACAGCAAGAAGTCCTGTAGAATAGGTTTTCAACATTTCAGAGTCCGAGCATTTCCTCGCTCCTGATTCATCTTTCCAGTTATGATCATCACCAGATAATCTAATCGTCTCATCCATCACCCAACCCTTTATGTTTTCCATAACAGTTTCCTCAAAAGCATGTGGATACTGAATTCATTGATTACCAAAAGTTAAGTAATGGACAACACAAGCTAAAACAAGAACAGCATAAGCATAACACAAACTAAAAGAAGAATAACTGAATCGATGAAACACATCAACTACATACCACAAAAGTAAGTGAACAACTAAAAAGAAGCCTTGCAGCAGCTGCCTGTACAGAAACTGAGTATCGACTTTCAGATAGAAACTTAGCTGATAATAACTCAAAGAACTCATCATTTTCCTGCAACAGGACATGAAAACTCAGCATCTTTTGCTACTTGTTCTGGGAAATAGGACAATACAACATGACACACAAAAAGCATACAACTACATAACAAACTCAATCCAAATGCAATAAATGCAAAAAGTAGATAAATTGAAAAAAGGAATCAATAAGACTAACCCGAACTAGATTCCCTAGACGTCCAATGTTGTGAGAAGATCGACCATTGTTTGCAGAGGAATGGCCTACGTCTTCCATGTATCTACAATAGCCAAAGAAAACAATGTTTGAAAAGCAATTAAAACAAATAATGAGTACGCAAACAATTCATTAACAGCTAATCTCAAAGTATCCGTATAGGCTAAACCAGTCCTTTCTGAATTTCTCTCTATCAAGAGCCCAAGTTCTGCACAAAGCAGATAAAATCCATCACACTTCATACCATGTCACTAATTTGCATCCAAACCTCAATTTCCACCATAAAATCCTGATCATGCCACTCTTCCCAAAAAGGAACTTTCCAATTTTGCTTTTGCTTTTCTTCACTTATTATTATTTCCACAATCAACTATCACAAATTTCCAATCATGATTATTTTCATAACAAATCATAAAATCAACGAACCAAACAATCTCGAACAAACATAAATGTAGTAGTCTTCCCATGGAAAAACAACCAACATTATAATCACTCTTGCTTAATAATTTCAAAAGCGTGTCACTGGATTTTGCACTTGACGAATACTAGAAAAAGCCAAAGGAGATTTTCATAATGCTTCCTGTTTCCTTCCCATTACTGAAAGAGTAACTGCACAGCCTAATATACTCTTAGTCACCTGTCAGCCAAACTTAAAATGATTTTGAAAAGTCAATTCAATCACTCTTTCTGATAAAATCAGGGAAAAAATCAAAACCAAGTTCCCATCAGCACTATCTCTACTGCATCATATATACATGCAATTGTTCTTCCATTTTGAGAGGAGTACAAAACTAAACTTCTGAAGAAAATATTAAACAGGTGGAACCAGAATGACAACTTTGATTTCAAGGTTCATCGCATTTCCCAATAGTCAAGATTAAAGTGCAATAACTCAGGGGAGACAATCTGACAACAAAAATCTGGACCTCCAAAACAATTTCAAGTTTGAAAGTTACATAGAATAATGGAGAACTAAGTGCTTGTTCCAAAAGAATGAAGTAAAATAAGGCACTGCCATACTTGAATTCAATAAATTAATCAAGTGTTATTATTTCAGCAGAGATAATTACATGATAGACTGTTCGCTAAGCAAAATTTGAGTGGAAGCTAGATTTATAGAATATAACTTTTATAGATACTGGAACCGAAAACTTGAGATACAAAGACAAAGGGGGAAGGGAAGGAGAGGACTTCCGCTTCACATCAGCAATTGGGGCATTCTCAAAATTCTTCACTCATATTGTCAGTTTAATTTGAGGAAACTAATACATGCAATAAATAGTCTCTTAAGTTACAACAAATAGTAAACCTCACTTGAGAAATAGATACTAAGATAGGCCACCATCCGTTGGACTTCCAACATGCCTGACCCTTAAACTTCCAAGTGCCGCTGCTATATAGAGCTGCTACTGTGTATCATTATTAGGCAGGCAACAATTACCAAGCAAGGCAGCTAGAGACAAGGCACATTAAAACACACCAGAGATATCAGAATCTCAGTCCTGAATCCATTAAATTTTTGTCAGTCTCAAATATCTTCTCATCCATTAGTGTCCTTAATTTTTTGTCCGGGTTTGCATCATTCTGCTTTCTTAACATATTTGATGCCACATGTCAAAATGAATAAGCAATTAATTTCTCACATAAAAGAGAAAAGATGAGTAAGAAATTGACAAGAAAGATGCATGCCAACACAGAGGAGATATCCCTTTCTGGCAGCCATTACTACAATCACGGATTTAATTGTCAATGATCCTACAAACTAGTAAACCAACAATCAAAATCAAATGCACGCCAACACAGAGGAGCTATTCCTTTCTAGCAGCCATTACTACAATTATGGAATTAATTGTCAATGATCCTACAGGCTAGTAAACCAACAATCAAAATCGACTAACTTAACAATCAAAACCAACTAACTTTTTTCCCATCACCATACAACCAATAAAGGACGAAAAATCCCAGAATAATATTCCTTTCCAATAAAGTAATCAACCAAAATGCCAACTCCCTTTGCCATAATACAGAGCATTTTCTCTTTAAATATCAAACATCATATACCACCAATCATGAAATATCTCCTCTAAGTTGTTTCTATTCAAATTCTTTTATAAATCACTAACACAAAATCCATCATATCATTTTATGCACTATTCCAAATCTCATTTTTAGAAGCCACGAAAAGAGGAAGTATTGTTCACTGGGTAAAATTTGTCAAATAGACATGCTCTGTTGCCCAGTTACTCAAAGGCGCGACTTTGAGTTATTTATAGCCCAAACATATATTACCTTTTGTACGCATTCACAGATAGTAGAGTTAAATTCCAAAAAAAATGGAGTTCTTTATGATCACATTTCACTAAATTACTGCCCTGTAACAACTCAAAAGAAAATTTCCAATCTAAGATATGCGTACAAGCTTCAGAGCGAAAGGTCCACCTACTTGGCTTCTTGAGTTTCAAGTATAGAAGCGAGAGCGTGGAGAATAGAAGGGCTAGGGTTTTCAGCGTTGGCCGTGATTCTGTCCATCAACTCGTGCGTCTTCAATATCAACACTTCATTCTCATCTTCTCCTCTCTCCTCCTGCTGCGATTCCCCGTCTCCTTCACCAAGCTGTTCTATTCGTCCCAGCACCGATGATTGCGGCTCCGATTCCGATCGAGCCTCATCCCTGGACGCCGAGCCCTCCATTTCCGACCTCTGTATTTGTTCAATTATAAGAAGAAAACAGAGAAATCCCTAATTTTGAAAGAAGAATTTCGCGCCCCCGATGAAAGAAAAGAGAAAAATTTTGCTCTGATTATTGGTTTTAGTTTTCTTGAAAGTATAAATAAATATTGAGAGACAGAAACAGAGCTGCGAGTGTGTGTGGAAAAAGAAAGAGAGGAAGGAGGGAGAAAAGGAAAGGGAAATGTATGGCTTTCATTTTGGGTTAATTGCGATATCACCCCTGTAACTATCACAAATGTGTATGACGTGCTTTTACTTTTTCAATATTTTGTATGCAAGGATTCCATGACTTGCAAAGTGAGGAAAGGCGTTGTGCAAGTATTTGTCCTTTAGGCCTTCAAGAAAAAAAGGTATTTGCCCTTGAGGGATTAAAAATACAAAAGCAAAAAATGAATACTCATTGTTGTTAATTAAATAAGAAAATTTTATTTAACAGAAAGAAAATAAAATGTAAAAAATATTACACGTTTCAGTAGTTTCTCAATAGCTAAAAGCTAAACTTGTATAAGATTATTAAAGCATTTACCATTGCACCATGTCTTTTCAAAATTATAAATTATATTCACGATTTTTTTTTATATTTGAAGTTTACCAACTTTCAAATTCATAGATTTTTTTTACCACCTTGTTTGCAAAAAGAAAGGGAAGGCTTGACATTCAAATTAATAAGATTATGATTATATATCTAGCATTTTAACAACTAAATTAGGTCATTAAAACGTTGTTATCCAAAACACATATAAGTATCTTATATAGTACTACTACCTAATTCACCATCAATTTGCATTACATTAATACCAAAAAAACAAATGACTCTAAAACTTACAAATTTTTTCAATCAAATTCCAAATTTAAGGAGCAACAAAAAACGCGCTACTCATCATAGTATGACAAATGTAATAGTGTTGCAATGAGTAGTTTAGGGGATAACTTGCGAGTTAGTAATTTTTGTAAGGGGTATATTGTAATTAAGCCTTTTCTATATATGTTTGTAGCTAAGTTGTCTTCTTTTTTTTTTTTTGTCTACACAGGGGTGTCCGGGTCAATCCTTACTGGCCCGGACATATAAAAAAAATCTTTTTTTTTGTAGCTAAGTTGTCATATATACAAAATGTGGTTAGTTTGAAAGGATTGTCCAATCGGGTTCCATATCGTGACCTGACTTGACTCTAAAAACTGCTAGAGTGGCAGCATTGGCGATATACAGATTAATTCAACCTAATAAGATCAAAATTTTAGAACTATCTTTAACATATAAAGTTTGAGTTATAAGTCATTTTCATAATTGCCAAAAATTGCATAAGGTTTAGATTAAAATGATTTACTTAAGCAACTTCACTTTGATAAAATTTACAAAGTTTCTCTATCATCCATATATTACAAATTGATCAAATTGTCAATTATTTTCTGAGTAAACTGATTTTCAGATATTATGATTCATATATTGGTATAATAAGAAAAAATCAATACTATGTCTACATTATTTTCTTATATATCGCTATTTTAGATACTTGTAAATGGACAAGTAAATAAAAGAAGAGGATTCAAATGCTATTTACCATAACTTTATTTCTAGAAAATTTATTTTTGATATCAATTATAGTAGTTTGTGCTAGATTAACTATTCTAAGCTGAAGAACTAATTATGTCAAAGGTTATTTGATGATAGATGGTACAATTAACTATTTATTACCATGAGAATTAGAAGACTAATTGCAAATGTTTTGGGTAATTCATATTAAAAGTACCAAACTATTTGGTCTTATGTAGTGAAAAAAGTTTGGTAATGTTTTTCTTGTTGCTAGTTGATGCTCTCTCTATTCTTACAACTTTGTATACTTCTTTTGTTAAAACTACTTTGTAATTTTTACCTTCCATGCTATAAAATTCTAACCTATTGTCCTAGTAGTTTTACAATTGTACATTTTGCCTCTCTCTCTTTGTTATATTTTTACCTAAAAGGTGATTTTGTTTTTTATTTCTTTTTGAGGAATCTGAAAATGATCTAAGCTTTATGGTTCCATTTAGAATAATAAACTGGGCTTTAGAAGGACAATTAATTTTGAAACAAAATTCATCTTCTCCAAAAAAATGGTGAAAATGCTCGTATTTATTTATTTTTTGAGACAGCCACTCAAAATGGAATTTTTTATGAGCATTTTGTAAAATTAATTTTAAAATGTTAGAATGAAAATTTTCAAAGGAATTTGAATTCGACATTAGTGTTTATATATGAAAGCATGTTATACTTGTCGTATTTTTAGCTTAATGATGTGAGAGAAGTTAATCTTAGAGCAAAAATTTTTGAACAAAATATCATACCAAAATTTGAAACTATGCGTATCAAACACTTTTTTATCTAGATAACCAAAAAAAAGTAACATAAATATTACAATTTATTGTCTAATATTATATTGTTTGAGATTATGATGACTAAAATATGACGTACAGAGTCCAATTAGAATATTACAAAATTATATCTATTGCAGTAATATTCGAGCAAAGTTTCCGAATCTTTTACTTGCCTATCTAATCTATCTATTTCAGCAAGCAAGTATTCACAGTATAAATAATTACTCCTGTGAATCTGTATCAACATAATTTTCATTATTTATCCAATTTATTTCAGAATCATTTTCATTATTTTCAAAATATGTATAGTTATAGGGGCTCTGATACCACTAGGGGTACTGGGGCTAGAAAGCAAAATTTTGCCAATTCAAATCTATTGTTAAAGAAATCAAATTATCTATCTCAATGGTAAGTAGTGGGATATCTTAATAAAATATGATTTTTATATTTGTCGTGATATAAAAAAGGTGAAAGAATATTACCATGTGCAATAGATACTTCTTAATTTTTCAGACATATAGGTCCAACAATCTTCATACCTAAATTTCTTAGAGGTTTGACTATACTATCATTAGGTATCCGGTGAGACATTCAGAGAAGAAGTAGATAGTCCAATTAGTTTAGTAATACTAGATTATAGAATTTTAAAAAGAGAAGAAACCTGTGTAGGAATCTTAATAGGGAATCTAAAATACCAAAAATTGAAATTTAATATACATTCTTGGATCACCTATAATTTACAAGATAAATATTTTGATAAATTATTATCAGTAATACAAAATTTTGAAAGGAAATATTTATTTAAACAAGGAAATAGACCTTATTCTGCTAGCAATGATTTCATATGTTTTATTAAATACTTATCACATAGAATATTTTGCTAACAAAGACTTCATAGATTTTCCAAAATTATTTTCTAAAGTAGAAAAAATATATCCAGCTTCAATAATTAATATAGAAGAATTAGATGATGAATTTGAACTTGATTTAAAACTAAAACCAATGATTAATCCTTATAATAAGATTTTACCTCGATTATCTTATTCAAAAATAGGAGTGGAAAGTAGTCAAAGATTAGATTCTATAATAAAAGTAGATAAAAGATTAAATACTAATTATAAAATAGATGGAGAACATTATGATGAATGAAATATTCACCATACAAAATTTTGATTGATACAGGAGCAAGTGGTAGTTATATCAACCATAAATTGATAAAAAAATCTAATTTGTCATCGATTAGAAGAACCTTATCAATATATAAAGTTTAATGGAGAAATGCATGACATAGATATAGCGGTAGAAACAAGTATACGATTAAAAGAAGTAAAAATACCTATACGACTTCTTGTTGGGAATGAAGAATTTAATGACTTTAGAAATTATGCTACGAAGTAGTTTCCCAGAACAAGTATCCCCTTATAAAATAATTAATTATGGATTATAAATAACTTATAATGATTTTAAAGCATAATATTTCGTTGCATATATAGATAGCGGATCAGGTTCTCATCTATGTAAATGCACATGCTTTCCTAATCAGTATACAGAGAAATTAAAAGATATTATTGGATTAGATATTTCTAATAATAAAATATAGTTATCTAAAGGAATTTCCTCATCACAAATATTATTAAGATCATTGCCGATAAAATGTCCACCATTTTACTTCTATGATACATGTACAGATATTCTACTTGGCAATAATTTTCTTTAATTATTTCACAAAGTCTTATTTGATACTCTAAAACAACAGATACATTTTAAAACATCATGCCATCATTGGATTATAGTTAATAGATTTAAAAATGCATATGCGAAAAAGTACCGATTATCTTTCAACCTTGCATAAGACACAAAGAAAAATCTCTTTTTTTTGAAAGGAAAACCTTTACTAAAAATAGAAAATATGATAGATAAGACCACAAGACAAAAAAAAACTATAATTGAAGGATTAGAAGTAGTAAAGGCTAAGATTAGGCAATGTTATTCAAATAATCCTTTACAATTTTGGGATAAATAAAGAAGAAGCAAAATTAGAAATGATAGGTAGAAATAAAATAATAAGAACTTATGCAATGAGATATGGCCTTCAAGACTAGGAAGAATTTAAAATAAAATTAGAAAATAATTCAGCAACGTAGATCACCACATTCATCCCCAATATTCATGGTAAGAAATCGAAAACAGATAAAATGGCTTGCCATCTAGCAAATATTTGTTTTGAAACTATGTTCTGAACATCTTTTTGTAAAATCTCTTTTGCAGATTTACAATCTATTCTAATCAAAAAAATTTTATTATATAAATCATCTTGAAATTTTGATATGCATAAAACTATTGATAAAATTTCCTTTTTAATAGTTGAATAATTCTTTTGAGGATCAGACCATGTTCCTGAATGAAATCTAACAAATTCTTCTTTTGATTCTTCTATTCTTTGTTTTAATATACCCCCATATCCTAATTCTGATGCATCTGTTTCAACTATCATGAATGCTTTAGGATGTGGTAAACACAAACATGGTAATGATTTAATTTTTTCTTTTAAATATTTTATTTTTTGAGTATGTTCTTCTGTCCAAGGTTTTGGGTTTTTCTTTAATCTATTAAATAATATAGAGCATTCTTGTCTTAATTTAGGGAAAAAATCTGCTATATAATTTAAACATCCTAAAAACCTTTGTAATTGATTTTTATCTTTTATCTCATCTGGAAATTGAATTTATTAAAGGAGAAAATAATTCATTACCAGATTTTCTTACTAGAGAATTTTTACAAGGACA